TCCTGATCCCATTAAATTGAATGCCAAGGGTTACAAGAAAGTAGTATGTGGGAGCAACTTCATGCTCCAATATTTCAAACTACCACATGGTATTGAGTTCATTAGAAGTTACATGAAATGGACAAATATTTTCACTGTATTAGTATGTGGTCATTATGCTTTTTTATTATGTTTACAGTGATCATGTTGCACTCTGCTCCAATATTTGTTTGGAAATCCACTTTTTGCTCATTTATTTCCAGTGTCATCCTCAATCTGTTGTAGAATCTTGGTTGGTAACAGAATTAAGAAATCCAGATGTGAACTCTGTTTCTGTATCATTGGCAGAATTTTGTCTATCAGCTGTCGTTCTGTCCATGCACGTTGCTTTCATGCTTTTTTGGAATTTGTGATACGATATATTTTTGCAACTTGGTTGTTTTTACTGAATGCCTGACATCACAACCTTACGCTCGTCTTTTTTGTAGCATATTATAACTGCTTCATCAATCACTGCAAATAAACCTGGTCTCTGTGACTTTAGTACATTGTATTGTGTTTTTATGACTTAGTATGGCTTTTAAATCAGATTTACTGCTGCTTCCTCCTTACCACTCATTTTGGACCTGTTTTTACAAGTCCTATAACAATGTTCTTTGCAAAGTCAAGCCTATTTTTCAGTGTAACCTTGATTAAATGCATCATTTATAACACATAATTCTCAAAGTAGCTTGTCATTCATGTGATACAGTTTTATTTGTAGATCTGTAGTAATATAGTCAATGGGCTCAACTGGCAACTAGTTGCTTGTGCTGTAGTGCACCTTTGTAGGTTTAAGTAATGTAAGTGAACTCTGCAGGTGTTCACTGAGGATGAAAGTAAACTCTAATTTCATCTAGCTGTCTGGTAGCATGTTCCATAAATCAAAAGCTAAGACTAAAGTGCCGTAGCTACTCCAAGCAATAGGGGTCATCCTTAGTGGCCAATCTTTTCCTAGATCACTTCATGTCATCCTATGCAGGGATATAAAAGGAACAACCCTTAGGACTCCCTTACGCAGTCCTCCTACTGCTTCTACACAAAGGTGTCTCATGAGTCCCACTTGCAGGCTGAGGCTGCATTTGCTGGCGCTGCTACTCCTAGCTTACACAGCAACAGGCTACTTTTCTGACTAGCACTCAAGAGTTCAGTCCCACTTCTTAGACTACCTGCTCTCTTCACAGCAGCTTCTCATGCTTCTGCCTCTGGCATCCAAACTGCTTGGAACCCCAACCCCATCTACTTCTCTCTAGTGCTAAAGCGTGGAGAGCAGCAGATTTACTACTTCACAGATTAACCACAGTACACTTCAAATTATTGAATGACTTTGTCTAGTGGTTTGTAGCACTTCACAAGTTCCCCCAGTATCGTAGTGGACCCGGTCCTTTAACAATGCAGAACAGTTCACAAACCCAGATTTCTCATTAACTTCACCCTCTCATAGGAAAATCTAGAAACCCTGCCATCACCTACTTCCATTCTCCAACAGATTCTCTTCCACAGAAGGAGACCCAGGCTATGTCTAGACTGCAGAGTTAAATCGGAAAAAGATATGCAATTTGCGGTACCCAAGTAGCATATCTTTTTCTGGTTTACTTTAGAAAGAGGCTTTTCCGAAAGTTGGCGCATCTACACAGCGCCAAATTTCTGAAAAAAGTGCTCTTTTGACACATCCCTTATGCCTCGTAGATCAAGGTTTACAGGGATTGCGAAAGAGAGAGTCCGCTTTTTCGGGGGGGGGACAGGACCCATGCACCCATCCACCCACACACACCCCGCACCCCCTTCTGGGATCACTGAAAAGCAATGCAGTCTAGACATAGCCTCAGTGCATTCATTTCTGCATTTTTTGCCAGAGATTTAATTTACAATTGCGTAGTATAATAAAGGAGTGAATTACTGAGCTGCTGGTCTTTTTATTTCTTATTGTATCGTCTGGCTTGGTCAGCATTACAAATAGAAACATGGTAGGGGACAATACCACTAACTTCATTGACCAGTGTTATACTCCTCATGCTGTTATCTGTTAAATAGATAAAAATAGAGGCGGCTTGATTATCGGAAATGCTTAGCACTCAAAACTTCAATTTAAGTCAATAGGAGGTGTAGGTGCTCTTTATTACAGGACTACTCTATATCTGTTTATTGTTAATCATATATAAAATTCCAGTAAATTGTTCTCAAAAATATGTACCATAATTTCTAGGTACCATAAGAACCATGAAATTGCTGTAGTATTCTGGAAGTAATTTCCTCTGTTACGTTTTTTACATGGACTTTTTAATACTCAACATCTCTGAAGATCAGGCACAGATGACGGCCTTCAAGTTTTAGAGCTATTAATTCAGCAATTTTCCTGGTCACTAAAAATGTACTTTCTTTTAAAAAATTCATTTTTAAATGAAGAGATTCCTTATTAAACTAATCACATGGGAGTACTTACAAGAGGTGAAGTTGCTTTACAAGAAGCTCTTTAGAGGATATGACTAATATACCTGTACTTTTTATGATTATTATTACAAAACGTTGAGTCAAATCGCAGTCATTTTCTTACATTTTCATTTTTCTTTGTTGTTGTTTTCTCTTTGAAAACTTTCATTCATCTCCTGGATGGAAAAAGAAAAAAAAAAAACCCTAGGTAAGTATATGAATAAAAGTAAAAGCAAACCCTGCAATTTCAGTTTAGAATTCTGGGTTCTCAATCATTTCATTTTAATGAATTCCATCATCATTTGCAGTGCTTACGTTCCTCCTTCTAAAGATAGTGAGACAAATTCTATTTTTAGTCTACATGTGAATCTGGATAACCTACTGATGACAATCAGCTTTGCCTATCCCACTGCACTAGATTTACATTGGTGTAGTAGCCAAATTTGGTTTTCTGTTTTTATACATTTGCAAGAAAGCAGGGAGCAATATTTCGGAGTTCAATGGCTAATTTTAAACACCCAACGTAATGTTCTATGAATTACCAGTAGGGATGTTAGATGTCACTTAATTTAATAATTGTGTAAATGCACCAAATCTTAGTTGTTACACAATTATTTGATGGTCCTCAGGGTGGGATTAGCAGCCACTGCACTCATGGCTCCACTCCCGGGGAGCCCCCTGCCACTCTGTCCTGCTCCCTCTGACACAAATGCAGCATCATGAGGCAGCAGCAGCCTCTGTCTGTGGGGCGGGTCTGAGCTCCCCACAGACAGAAGCTCCACTGTGGACAAAGGATGACCATGGCAAGAGTCCCCATCTGCAGGGCCCAAGTTCTTCACAGACAGAGGCTACACTGGCATCCCACGGAGCAGCCTTTGTCTGTGGTGAGCCTGGTCAGGCTGCAGACAGAGGGTGCTCCAGCATTCTGCCTGCTTCCCCACCCACGCGGCTGCCTCTGAAATATCCCACCTGTTCCCCCCCGAGCAACAGCTTCCTCAGTGGGAGGCAGCGAGGGGAGAGGGGGCACAGGTGGCTCCGTGGAGTCATCACATGCGGGGAACTGGCTGAAAAGCTGGCTCCTCACATGTATAAGTTCCTGCCTGCCCCAACCCCATGCTGCTTCCTCTGATGGAGAGGCAGCAGCATGGGGGCATGTGGAGGAGATGGCTCCACAGGAGACAATATGCACTGGGAGCTAGCTAGAAAGTAGGTTCCCCATGTGTACCAGCTCCCGCCTGCCCCATTCACCCTCTGTGCTGCTGCTGCCTTTGTGTCAGAGGGAGCAGCACAGGGTGGCAGGGGGCTCCCCGGGAGTGGGGCCATGAGTGCAGTGGCTGTCAATTCCACCCCTGGGAATCATCAAATAATCGTGTAACAACTAAGATTTGGTGCAGTTACATGATTATTAAATTAAGTGACATCTAACATCCCTACTGGTAATTCATAGAACATTACCTTGGGTGTTTAAAATTAGCAATTGGCTTCTGAAACATTGCTCACTGCTGTCTTGCAAAGCTTATAAGCTAATCATTTACATGACTTTATGCTAACATCCCTAATTACAAGCAGGTTATACATACAATGCAAAAGCGTTTAATTTCATCATTAATTTGCTACACTTAAGTACATTATTTGAAACTAAATTTTAATATACATTTTAAATATGAGTGATACTTTACATTTCTGCAGCACCTTATTTTGGGCTATAAAGCATTTCACAAACAATCACAAATTACTAAGGCCCTACCAAATTCACAGCCATGAAAAACGTGCCAGACCACGAGATCTGTTTTTTTTGCGAGGGAGGGGAGGGGAGAGGAGTTATGGTTTTGCCACCTTTTCTACTATGCTACCCTCAGGGCTGGGTGACCAGAGAGCAGTGACAGAAGGCTGGCATGGTATGGAATTGCAGCTGGAGAGTAGCAGCTATTTACTGAGGACCTGACTCTGCAGGTAGCAGAGCAGAAGGAAGGGTGGCAATACCATATCATTCCATTCTTCTGTGGTGCTGCTTTTGGTGACTCGGCCCTCAGAGCTGGTATCTCAGCCAGCAGCTTGCCATTCTTCAGTTCTGAAGGCAATGCTACTGCTAGCGCTAGCACTAGCACAGAAGTTAGGTTATCAGTACTGCACCTCCCTGCCCACAAGTTCTTTTTGGGTCAAGTTCTACAACACTGAAATTTCCAATTTTAATAGCTGAAATAATGACATTTACAATGTTTAAAATTCTATAACCATGAAATTGACATAAATGGACAGTGAATTTGGCAGGGCCTTACAAATTACACATACAACGACACCTGTGTTAAAACATTCAAATCGCAAAGACAAGAACTAAAAAGTTAAAAAAATTGACAAAAATAATGTTACCTGTGCACGCTTAATTCAACCCATTTGTGTGTATGTATTATGATATGTTCTTTATTTATGTAGTCACATAGCATTCCCCCCAATGTTCCTGCCTCATTCAGTTCATGGGATGGACAATACTTACCAAATGAGCAGCTTTTAATTGTTTTATTTTCTCATCATTGTCCAATGTGACCCCATTGCTTTATTTACTACACAAAATTCAAGCACTGCTCTGAATGCAAACTAATTTCCTCATCGACTTTTCTGTGATGCTCATCACAGCAACAGGTGTTTCACTAATTTTAATGATTTTATTTTTATAACACCCTTGTGAGAATAAGAGGTATTATTTTCAAGATGGTAAACAGAGATTAAGGTCAGACAGTATTCACTAATTATTTGTGCCCAATCTGTGCATGACTTTTCACAGCTCTTAGCATTTTACAGTGCTTTAAATGGTCAAATAGCAGCTCTCATTCAGTGCTTCAGAAAATGACATTCCATAGTCTCAAGTTGGGCATCCATAAAATAAGTAGCGTACAATTAGTGACCTATGAAAAAATTTGGTTTCAGTGTCTTATCCAGCATCACAGTGGAACTCAGTGGCTGATGCACGGATAGAATGCAGATCTCCAGTGCAGCACTCATTTACTTTAACAATAAGATTCTCTTTCTGCTTCCTGTTGTCCCCTCTCCTTCCAACTTCTGCAAAAAGTGAGGTATGGATTCTACTAGCAGCCTTCTTTACAAAACAACCTTGACTTGTCCCTGAGTAGGTCCATCCTGTACACAATGAACTAGGGGTCCCATGGAAAAAATAGTAACTATCTGTAACTGAAGACTCGGTGCCATCTTCTATAAACCCACACTGTTTCTGTTATTGTCACCACCCACTCTGCCAGTCCCAGGTTTTCCTGCTCCTCGTGCCAGCATATGCTTTAGGCCAGTGTTTCTCAACCAGTGGTATGAGTACCCTTAGGGATACTTGAGAGAAGTCTGGGGGGGAACATGTCAATTTGGAGAAAACTGATTTTTTAAGTTTTACAGGCTTTATTATTTTTGTACTTTTTACACACAAAAATTTAATCGCCTACCCAGCTATGATTAAGTTGTTTAAACAAATGTGTTGCAATGGTAGGGGAAAAAATGGTGCCTGAAAACTGTAGGTACTGCGGGGACTTCTTTTTTTTTTTTTTTTTTTAAAGGGGGTACTTACAATTTTTTTTTGAAAGAGTACTTCATAAACAAAATGCAGGACAATGTAGCACTTTAAAGACTAACAAGATGGTTTATTAGATGATGAGCTTTCGTGGGCCAAACCCACTTCCTCAGATCAAAAACAAAGGTTGAGAAACACTGCTTTAGGCCCCTTGTCCAGTCAGTCCCAGTTCCCCACAATTCCTCATCCAATCTCTTTTCTCCCTCTTTCTTCCTCAACTGGCTCCAAGACCCAGTCTCTCACTTCCCCCACACACTTTGCCTCCTCATCCCAGAGTCCCTCCAGCCTCCTAGAGGCTCCCTCCCTGTCTAGCTGGTCTCATTTTCCATGACACCAGCTCCTCATCTGATACATTTTTCCTACTATTGGCTCCCAGTCATCGCATGTCCCTCTTAATGGTCCCAGTCAGGGTCTCCTTGCCCAGCCAGTCCCAGATTTTCCCTCCCCTATACCAGTTCCTAACCCTATGCTTTTTGCCCCATTGTACTCCCCTGACCCAAGGCCCGGCTCTTTTCTCCAGTGCACTTGAGCCAAAAAGCTTTCTCCTCTGCATTGTCTATGCACCAGCAGGGGGAGCCTTTACAGCACAGGAGAGAGAGATTCTTCCAGTTCTTAGTTTCTATATCCAGCCTCCAACCAGGATTGCAACAGCCAGGAACAGAAATTTCATGGAAATTTCATGGAAATTTCCTGTTCAATCCCTGCTTCTCTGGTTCAGAGCTTGCTCAGCATAGATGGAATCTTCAGAGAATTCAGCTGCCGAACAAGAATTTATCCACCAATACATTTGAGCATATTTCAACTGAGATTTTTCAAAGGTTTGCCAAACTTCGCAATTTTACAGGAATAGCAAAAGGCATATCCCTGACACAACGGTCACCCCTGCCCAAATATCAAGTCCCTGCTCCAAAGCACAAACACAGTAATTGTTCTAAATACATAATAACTTACAATCAATGGTCTGGTAGCACTTTATAGACTAACAAAGCATGTAGATGGTATCATGAGCTTTCATGGGCACAGCCCGCTTATAATCAATTTGTTAACATGGGCAAAACAATTACCCCAATCTTATCCTCTGAGATAGTTGAACAATTTTTGCTTATACTTTCCAGAATAATTTAGCTCAAGCTAGATACCCAGCATGGAAAATTTCAGCCCAACAGTTTATGTTTGGCAAAATTATAGGGTCTTATAATGGAGGTATCAGGCAATGCTGCATACACCTATAATTATGTCACACACTACCTCTGATGTAGGTAATTATTATCCTCACTTTTATAGATAGTAAAATTAAGGCATAGGCATAAGGTGGATATAATACGGTTTTGGATCTTGGGTAACCTGGGTTCTGTTCCTGGCTCTAACACTTACTCAGTAAACAAGTGTCTTCACTGATCTGGCCTTAGTTTCCTTATCAGCAAAATGGGAATAAAGATATTTGCCTCCTCTGAGAAGCACTTTGAGATTTACTGATTAAAAATGCTAAGAACTAGGCATTATCATTATTCAATATAAAGCAGTGAAGTCCCACAATGTGTATTTGCATATTGTGAAAACTAAGCCTAACTAATACTGAATTATGCCAACAATCAACTAGGCTTC